GACGCACAGCTTCGCTACAGTCGCAGGTCGCTGTGCAATAAATCTATAAATGAACACAGGTTTGATTTGGCCAAATCTATAAATTCTAAAGATTGCTTGAATATCATGGGTTGGATTCCAAGAAGCGTCAAATATGATACATCGATTGGCACCAACCAAATTAATACCCAACCCACCAGCCTTAGTTGACAAAAGGAAAAGGCGAGCTCTTAAATTATCTGGATTATTAAAAATATCTATATGACTTTTACGTAGACCTCCACTGACAGATCCATCGATTCGGAAATAATCTGATCCGTGCCTCCATGAATAAGAATTGCCAGTAGATTCCATTTCTCGAGCTCTAGATTCAAGACAGGTTTCAATAAAATCGAGAGTATCAAGACTTTGAGTGAAAACAATGACTTTGTCTCCAATTTTCTCGCATTCATCAAGTATATAAAACAAGACTATCATTTTCGAGCTCCATTCCAATTTATCCATTTCCATGAAAGGAAGTAGATTGTAGAACCAGCAATTCTTGAATTGTGTCTCGGGATCATTATCAGGTAATTGAGGTTCTTCAATTTTTGCTTCTGACTTAGCTGATCTTGTTCGAGAAGTCCATTTTTTACAGACTTCGTTATCACTAGCACCATCAACTTCACCACCACCATTACTATTTGAATTACTATTGCTATTGTTGTCAACACCATTTTTGGCCTTCTTTTTACCTGATTGCACTTCTTTGTCACTTTCAATTATAACATCAGAATCTGATTCAGACATTGATTCTTCTTCTTCAGTAGTGACAAAATCTTTTTCATTCCGTTTAGCTTCAGCTTCTCTTCTTTTGGTATGGGCACTATACAGGAGAGCTGGATGGTTCCAAATAAGACGTAAATTGGCAAAATCAGCAAGAAGAGCAGAGCCTTCACGAGCAGACATATTGTCCAAATAATAACGATACAGTTCAATTTGTTTTTCAGTTAATTTTATACTAACGATGAACTCAAGTTTAGGCTGAAGATATGGTTTAAGAACACTGTAATCGAATCTTTGAACACAACCATCAAGTAACTTATGGAGAACATGAACACGTTTTTTCATGACAACTACATCACCAGGCGTTGAATCGATGTGCTGACCATTAGTGATTGGATTCACAAAACGATTAGTAAATTCCTTTTTGGTACCAAGTAGATTCGGTTTGACAAAATGTACCATGACATGATATTCATCGAGATTATTTTGTAAAGGTGTGCCAGTTAAGATAATACGACGTAGAGTTGATATCGAGTTGACTGCTTTATTGACAGCGGTTTGACTATTTTTGAGTACGTGACCTTCATCAATAACGACAATGTCAGGTCCAGGTTCGATAAGAGCTTCACTGATAATGTCACGAACCCATTTCGGACATTTCGGTTTCTTTCCTTTTGGACTAACTAGCGTAGCAAACAAAGTGATGCCACAAATTAACACACCACCTCGTTGTCTCCAAAGTTTAAATGTTTCACCTCGTTGAAGTTGACTTTTAGAATCACTCAAATCGAAAAGAGGAAATTCCAGAAGACCATCGTCTTCTAGCCATTGACGAAATTCAGAGATCCAATTTTTAATGGTATTTACAGGACAAATGACCAATGCGTGCTTAATATGTTTTTTGATTAAACGGTGGGTGAGAATGGTGTGAAGAAAAGTAATGATTTGAAATGTTTTTCCTAAACCCATAGAATGGGCCAAAATACAACCAGATCCGTCTTCTTTAGCCTTATGTACACTTTCAATGACTGAGTCCCACATAAAACGGATACCTTTGACTTGATGACTTTTCATTTGTTTAGCTAATTCAGGAGCAACTTCAACAATCGGTTCACGTGTATCTGGATCAATCTCAAGAATTAACCGAGACGGTTTTTCAGGGTTTATTTTCATTTCATTGAGTAAGAATTCATTATAGAGTTTTTGCCTTTCAGCAATCCTCTGAATACGTTCTTTCTCCCTTTGACCAGCGGCTCTAGTTTCTTCTTTAAGCTCCTTTTCTGTTAACAGTTTTTTAATGTTCTTTCGGCCTTTACCTTTCTTTTTGCCAGACTTGTCATCTTCATCAGAAGACAGAGTAACCTTGAATAAAAATAATAAGGACGAAGGTTAGATATGATGAATATGAAATTCAATAGATTTACAGTTTACACCAAAACTTTCCTTGACAGATTCATTTCTACCCCTCAGATCACAAACAAAACCTAACATAAGAGCATGAGCAAAAACTAACAGCTTGTCAATACTAGCAAAAGGATCCAAATCCAAAGACAAGAATTGAATAAAATGTAATTAAACAGCTAACAAAAAGCATTACTATGGGCACTTAGAAATTTTAATCAAGGAAAAATGTTTTGGCACAACTGAAATAACATTTGTTAATTGAATTTATCATTTTACATACAACTCTACGGCGCTTTGATTTAGGTTTCGGTGTTTCTTTTTTCAATAGCCTATTGTCTTCATCTGTACCAGAATCAAGTATCTCATCAGGATCTGATTTAACTATCTCATTGTCCGTAGAGATCTGTGATTCATCTTCAGAAGAAACAACACGATTCCGTTTTTTACGAGAACCTCCGGCAGCATTAGATTTCTTTTCTTCACTAGGGCCTGCTTCTTGGTCATTTTTACCTCGAGTACGCCTGGTTCTCCTGGCTCTCTGTATTGGTTTTTCATCACTTGAATCACTACTCTCTATCACTGTCCAATTGTATCTACTACTACTTGAACGAGTCTTTTTGATTCCTTTACTAGTAGAAGCTTTATTAGGAATCCAGGCTTCATCATCACTGGAATTATCACTATCACTGTCAATCACTTTTCTTGAAGGTGTCATTTTTGACCGGTTGACAGGACGACTAGCCTGCTTACACCATCTTAGATCTAAGTCTTTAAAAACATCATTCTCCATCTGACGCACTCTCCGTTGGATGGAGTTTGCTGAAGCTGTCGATTCAACCAGTTCTTGAGGTAATCTAACAATCTGAACTGAAGCCACGGAGCTAAGACATTTATCATTGATGACAAAGGAGGCTATGCTGTTGGTATGTGTAGTATCTGAGGTTGAACAAGAATTTTCTTCAGCTATTTCTTGTTGTACTTCAGAGGCAGCTGTAGTTTTGGCAGAGTTTGACTGGTCACTTTTCACTTTTTTGTTGATCACTTTTTTTGACTTATTAACATTCTTCTTTTTATTAGTGCGGCTACCATTATCAGAATCATCTGATTCTGTAAAACTAGAAGCAGACTCACTGATAGAATCAGTTCCTAATGTGAGAACAGATTCGTTGTCAGAATTAGCTGGACCAATTGTATCATTTTCACTATTATCAATATCAAGAACAGAAGCACTTGCATCATTTGGTGGAACTTCATTTGACAAATCCGCTTCTGGAATAGATTCTTTCGGGGTTTCGTTATCGTCCAGCACTTTATCATCCAAATTTGTCTCATTTTCCGTTTCTTGGTCTTCTTCGTGTTGTTGCTCCATTGCACTATTTGAAAGATTCTCTTCGAAGATACGTGGATCACTATCCACTACTACATATGATGGGTCAATGGTCCTCTTGGAGGCATCTGAAGAGTCTGGATCTTCCACGTCTATTTCATTTGATTGTTCTTCTGGTTGGTTTGAGTCATGAGAGGCACTACCATTGATAGATGTTGATTTTGAACCAGGCTCACGTGACTTTCGTGGACTCTCGTCATCGGTAGAACTTGAATTTGATGAAACACGGTCACGCTTTTCTTGCACATGAGGCCTAGAAACAGATGACTGGGTATGCGTATTGGAAGAATATTTTTTCGTGGAGTTGTAAAGAATAACTCTAACATTTGCAGCTTTTTTACTTTCAGGCTCTTCTTCTGTGCTGTCATCAATTGAACTTTCATTAATGTTTAGAGAGCCACCAATATTGGTTCTAGGGATTATTAGTATACAGTTATCATTATCTTCTGACTCTTCGTCGGTAGTTAATGAGGGCTTTAAGGGTTCGTTTTCTACAGTAACTTTTGGTGATTTCAACACTTTTTTGCCTGGTGACTTGGCTTCATCTCTAACTGGTTGAGATTTAATTTTTGGAATACTAATGATAGGAGATGATGGTGGGTCCATAGGGTAACATGTATTTTCTCCATTAGTGGAACTTGTACCATTTGTTTTACTATGATTAGAGTCGCCACATTCTGAACTCGATGTGTCACTAGAATCTGAATCTGTTTCTGAATCAGTGTCATCTTTGACTCTCGATTTTTTGGCTTTTGTTTCTTTCTTTTTCTTGGTAATCAATTCAGCAGCGAATTCAACGTCATCTCCTTGAAGTGATGTGAGTAAGCTCTGAATAAGGCTCCTTCTTGCTTTCGGAGTCAAAGAAGTGATCATTTTATCAATTTTCTTGTCATCTTTATCACCGGGCTTTCTGGTGGACATTTTGCTAGGCATTGGACATCCACACCTGAAATACACGTTGTTGAAGCTCTTTAGAGAAATCTGAATTTAATAAAGATGAAAGGCTGCATGTTAAAGGATGGAAATCAATCACAGTTGAGAAGATGAGACAGCAGACCGGTAATGATTACCCGCTGATGAGTAACACTTAACATATAATAAACAAATATAGTAATTATAGGTTTAGTAATAGACAAGTTAGGTAATATTAAATACACATACACAACGAGGAATAACCAGTAGTAATGTTGATAAAAAATCCAGTCAGGCTTTGCACTTTGATCAGCAAGTTAACGTTAATGATAAATTAATTATTAATTAATTTTATACTGCTGATGAAGCAGGAGTTAACAAGCGTTTATAATAATTAAAATAAAACTTTAGTATAGCGAGATTCACAAGAAAATTAACAATTAACATGGAAAGTTAACACAAACGATAAGATGTTGAAATAATCTACCATTTGAACCTTTTGGCGGCACAAAAGATTGAATCCATGACAACAGGCGGAATAGTTGATTAGCAATTTGTTTGATCAATTGAATTGTACTATTGATTTAAATTGTTTTCAAAACAATCTCTTACAAATAATTGCAAATATTTGTAATTACTATCATACAATGTATGAATGTTCTAATAACAAACTCATCATTTAATTTCGGAGCGGCTTTTATACTCATTTTCGCAACTTTCAAAGCTAATTAAAAGCCTTCAATTGTTTTAGCTCGATAAAGCACAATTGAAATTGAAAATATGCAAACAATTGTATCAATATTTGTTTGATCAGACCTCTGATTTACTCAAGTATCAAGATTATAGCTTGTTGGATCTTCAGTTGTAATTTAATCTTGCAAATATGCTTATTTGTTTTGTGAAATTTTAAAATGATGCTTAATTACGTTTATCATGTGCAAATTCAACATATAACTTCCATATGAATTTTTGTTGTTTCATTTTTCTTCCATGATTACAGTGGAACTTTCGCGACCATGAGAAATAATCCAACTACCACTAAATTGATCCATATTTACGGCATGAATTGACAAATCAGTTTTGAATATTGTCGTTATCTCAGTTTTCTCAAGACATGTTATAGCTATTATTTGCTGATTAAACGTGTTGATAGTTTTGAATACGAAATTTTCTGGCAGTCATCTCCTAATTCAGGTTGTCAATCAATTATGTACCAATAACATCTTTTTGTCACCATATCATGCTTTTAGAGTCAACTTCATGGTAGGTTGTAAACTGTTTACGTTGAAGAGCCTGTTTCAGTAGTCAACTGGAAAAGAGAATCACAATATTTAGATTTGACGCAATCATGTTGTGATATTGCTATACCAAATGCACTTGAGTTTAGGGTGCAATGAGTAAATCAGATAGAAAAGGTTGATTCAAAATTGGTTTAATCTCTTTTAATCATAATTTCCATCACAATATAACAAGTTGAGAGCGGAGTTGAATAAAAGAGTGAGTGAAAAGACATTTCCTGCAAAAAAATACAGATGTAATTAATGAGAGATAATCCATAAACATTTGGAATCACAAGTGACAAAATTATCTGTATCCAAAAAAAGGAATTGGACTAATGTACAATTTAAATTGCTTTTTTTTTGCACTTCAGTTGATTAAGCATTGAATGATTTTGTTATCAAGCGGATCTAACGTAGTTAATTCAGTCTTTTGACTTCCGCTTCTTCTTTCTCTTGTTCAGAGCTGTATCCGATGAGTCGGTGGGTGATGAAGGTGCTTTTAATGAAGATGGAGATGGAGATTTTGACAGTGACGACTTCACAAATTGCGAATTCTTTGATGAAGTAGAAGATAGTGAAGATGAAGATGAAGATTTTGACAATGCTTTTGAAACACGGCTATGGTACCGTTGGGCTAAGGAATTGATTATAGATAGTAGAAAGTAGATGATCATAGTCATTACTATTTTTTCAAATAAAGATGCGATCCAATGTGGCTTGTTGACAACTTTACCGTGAAGTCGTTCTTTTTGATTAATTAGAAAATCTCTAAATGGTTCATGCAGGTATTTACCCAAAACGGGTAAATCTTTGATTTTATCAACAAAATTTTCCAATAAATTTTCATTGAATGCAATAATGACAAATAATTTTTGTATATGCATTTTGATGACAGCTTTACCTATCAAGGTAGCTCCAAAGAATGTCCAAAAAGGTACCAAGCAATGGCCACAAGTAATTCCAGCTAAATCATATACAGGATTTGGAAAAGAGGCACAAAAAAGGATACCAAAGAAGCCAACTTTTTTGACTAGGAATTGTACCCATGAAGATGCTCTGTCAAATTTATCGGAAATATTATTGATTATCCTTGATATAAGGCTGTTCTTTTTATTACCACCACCTTTTTTTGATCGACCATTTTTAACTGATCCATTTTTTTGCTTACTAGCTTCTAGTAATTCTTGAGTTTCCAGCTCTTCAATTGTTCTGCCCGATAAACGTTTAACTTTAGCCATAAAATAAGGCGGTAATTCTCCAAGAGCAGTACCAGCACCCCACATGAAAGCTTCCAATCTAACCTTTGATATTATATCCCACACAGAAACAGGCCTTGAATCAGGTAAATCTGGACAAACGATTTCATCGGGATAAGGTGGCTCAGGAAAGCTTAAACTTCCACATTCATAAGCAGCAAGAGTTACTTTTGCAATATGTGGTCCAAGGTAGAGGATGAAAGTATGGAGACCGGTTCCAAATCCTACAGATGACAAGATACCAAGACCAATCCAATAGGCAGACCATAATATTTTTTTCCAAATAATATTGAAATATGTAGAATGAAAATCTTCGAAATAATATGAATAAGTTATCAATAATGTTGCAAGGGTTAGTAAAAATAATAATGTAGTTTTTAGATGTCCTTTTAACCAATGAAAACATTGATAAGTCAAATATAAACTCTCACGAAGAGCATAATCAATTGTGGCTACCGGTTTCTTCCATAAGACAAGATTCTCCTTCTTTGTATCCCATATTTCCATTATGAGTTAGCGACGGTCATACAAAGGAAAGACGGATAATTAATTTTAAAGATGAATGAAGAAAAAAAATAAATTCAAACAAAGATAAAAAACGAGAACAATTTACAAATTTCAGATTTTTCTCAGACTACAGTGAGAAATGTTTCATGTTAAAGGTAACCAATACATGTATTATACATCATGTTAATGTTAACGCCATCTATACAAAAGAGTAGAATGTAATTTATTTTCCAATTTGAAACAAATTATCAAGTGTGACTTCTATTCTCATGGTATTGTTCAATAACAATATCTAAATTGGTTATTAGCAGGTGATTGAAGCTCAGTGATCATGAAATGGAAATTTTTAATCCATTATGTCAACGTGGATAACAATACAAAAGCAGATAAATATTATCCACACATTATTATAATATTTAAAAGGCAACATTATTCAAACTAAGCAACAAAATAGTGATGACGATACTAACCAATTGGATTTGCAATTAACATCGACTAAAATTAAAATATAAGTCATATTATTATCAGTCATTGTTTGCGAATCAATGAATCATGGTTTTGCGGGAAGATTGCATTTCTTGAGTCACAGTTTAAGATTAGATTTATTGATTTGTAACAATTTCTTATTGTATTAATAAAAAATATCGCTCAATTAATATGGTTCAAAATTAGTCATCATTACTCATGAAAGCTTTCTGATTATGATTATAATTCAGCTTTAATGTCGCTTATTAATTAGTAATTCTAATAACCTAATTTTCTAATTATAACCAGCGATACTTCTGACAATGTGAAGGTCAACATAACCTAATTTTATTGATAACTAAATCATCTAATCAAAAGAAGTGACGATGTAATAATGATTATTATATTTAAATACTGATCGATCTTCCATAATTATAAACTGGAAGATTTGAGAGGCAAAGATGGACAGAAATTCAATATAATATTGTTTAATAGCGATAATTGCAGACAAATTTAGATGACCTAAATAATCACCCATGAATGTAACACTCTTAGATATTGCTCAAATAAGGTAAATTGGCTGTTAAATTATGATTATTGAATAATTACTCCCAATTTGAATACAATAGTAGTCAGGGTTGAATTAGCTTTTTACTTGAGTGCACTGGCTAGTCGCGATAGCTATTAAGGCACCGTCTACCCTGGTCAAGTGTTTCACTGTCCATAGGCGCTAGGCTTTATCCAGCTTAGCTGGGAATCTATCCAAAGGTATGATGGGAATAGGATGATGATTGATGATCATTAAGAATAATTAGACCAATTGAAGATGAAAAAAATTATTTGAGACAAGATAATGATAACTCGGAGTGTTTGCCAATAAAGCTGCTTTGTAATTTCTTCCAGCCATTAAATCATTTGACACTAAATTACTTGGATGTTTTTGAGGAATTTAGACTCGTCTAAATTTCATTTGCCAGAAAAATTGAGATTAATTATTATTAGAGACTTGTTTACTTGATAATGAACCTTATGGAACTGGATCATGAGTTTTTATGATAAAAAAATTGAAATACATACGGATAAAAGGTTATCTAAAGCTAAAAATAATTGATGATTGGAAACTTTTGTTACCATGAACTGTCCAGGTTATTTCTGGATAATTATACATGAAAATTAAGAGGTAAAAGTCAAAATATAAAATCCAGATTCAATGGTTTTGTACAACGCGGGTGTTTTTGAATCAAAAGTTGAATAAAAAAACTAATTCTCAGGAATAAGTTACAAAAAAAGTCATTAAAGATGATAATTTTAGGATGAATTGTTAATATACATATTTAAATATGTACAGTATATTAACCAATATACTAGCAACATCATAATGTAATTAAAAGCACAACGTATATCCTTAGGTAATTATTTTGATTAAGTGGTCACAACATCCAGCCTTTGTCTTTTTGGCCAATTTTCTTCGTTATTTTTACGATTGTTCACTGTGCCTTCGTCTTTGATCGTCGAGTCTTCATGATTTAAATCCTCAGGTGAATTAAGATTGTTGAGATCCGAAGCTTTACAAACATCACTTTGCTTATTTGTTTCATTATACGAATAATCATAGCTACTAGGCCAATTTACTGAAGCAAGACCAATTAGATTGCCTGAGTACTTCATTGGATGATGACTCCAACTAGTTGTTTGAGGATCATAGAAGAAAAAATCTTTTGATGATTTGATTCCAAGAGCTAATTGCGAACCGTTCGATGCTAACAAGTAATTTCCATAAAGTTTACCCCGCAAACACCGAGCTCTACCTTGACCGATCCCACATCTTTCATAGAGAAAAGCTGGTTGAGTTGTGACTCTTTGAGGCAGAGTTAAGTCAATAATTTTTCCTGAATCCTTTGCAAAACGAATGAGCTTGGTTTTATAGGATCTTGAATAAACGAAAACGTCCCTTTTAACGCAAGCACCTTGCACAAGATGATCATCAAATTTTTTAAAATCATTCTTGACTTTCGCTGGCCAGCAGCAATGAGTGTTGCTCAAATCATAATTTTCACGGCATAATAAAATAAATTTTCCCTTTGATTCAAGAAGAGAATCATAATGAATCGGTCCTTCCAACCTGCAATCTTTCCATTTATAAAAATGAGAATATCCAAGAGAATATCTGTGGAGAAGGAAAAGATATTAGTCAGTTTTGTCAACATGTTTTGATAGTGTTTTATTTGCTTATTTCTGCACACACAAAACGTTAAGGAAACAAGATAAAAATCAACCACAGAGGTTAATAACTTCTCTGGTCATGATGCACTGATAAAGCCTCTATTTGGCTGTTGTGTGCATCAGTTCATAAAGTCAATGTACTTACTTTGAATATCTGGCACTTAATAGCATCAGACGGTAATAGTCAATTAATTCTGAGTCGAGATAGCGGAATGTCTTATTACACCAGTCCACTCGAATACCTCTTCTACCAGAGTCATAAAAAATATCAAATGACTGGTCTTCACAAAAAATATGAGTAGGAAGGGTTACATCTTCAGTAAAATTTCCAATAAGATTCCACGACTCCGATTGGAATTTAAAAATAGCGATATTTTTGGGATCATTAGGATAAGAGTAAATGGCGAGTAAAGAAGTTTTTGTAGTTCGTGGATTTTCTTGTTCAGTTTTGATTGGAACTAAGGGATCATCATCAGAGATATTTAATTCCTTGATGTATTTATTATCACGAATAGCAGAGGAACCTTTGTTGTCCAACTGATCCCAGCGAATCAGTTTTAACAGCTGAGTTAAATGTTGTTTCCTTAAAGTGGAATCATGGTCAATCCATTTGATAATGGCTTTAAAAACATTATATTCTGATTCGATCCATAAATCTAGTTTTAGCACATACTCTAGTGTGCTTAGTGAAAAGGCAAGGAATGACTTGAGATTTACAATTTTTAAGAAATTACGATTAATGAAGCAATTGATGGCTTTAGTATTGATGAGCTTGGATGTGTCGGTTACTTGATTTAAAATGGTTTCTAGATTATCAACAGTAAACTTGTCATAAAGAAAATTTGAACAGGCACTTTTTAGCTCATCTATCATTAAATAATCAGCAATGTCATATAAATCAACCAAATATTCAAACTGCAACTCCGTTTGGCCGTTAATCCATTTAATAAACAGATCAAAACTGGATTCATCAAATTTAAAGTCAACTTTGCTTTCCTTGGATTCCTTGAAATTGCTTGCAAGTAATCCTTCGAAATATGGTACTTTGGAGCAAAGTAATTTCTTAGAGATGTTGTACGTTTTTGAACAATTAACTATTGTTAGTAAATCCTTCACATCTTCTTCATGTTGAGACATATTAATCAAATTTAAGATGACAATTAAGGAACTGGTTAAAAGTCACATGTGAAAACAAGAGCCAAACAACGAGGGTTGTCATAATGTGACAGTCATATTTGTGAACTAGAAGAAGCGCGCAATATGAAATATGAATATCTAAAGATAAATGTTTTTCCTTCCCTATTTACTCATTATGCTGAAATTCCCTGAGAATTACTGAGAAATTTGACAATGTGAAAATTTGGAATGACAATAACATCAATAGGAAGAATTTTAATTGAATCAAATTGGCTTTTCTGCATGTGGATCAAATAACCATCAAGATAAGCAGCTTTGGCTTCTAGGACTTGCAATCAACGAAAATATTGAACAACATTATGAGGAATTATATTGAATATCGAATATTGAATAACATTATTATTAACGTATAAAGTATTTTAATGATTCCCAGTTGACACTTTATCTTGTTTTTTGGTTCAGCAATGGTTCGACAAGCGAAATTTAAATTGTCTTTATTTTCGTTTAACATTGTGTCATTATAACAATCAGCATGAAACAAAATCAAAATGAAGTTTCTGCTTTTGTGTTACAGTAACCAGTGCTTCTCTAGTCAACAGGATTCAGACAAGTCTGTTGAAAATAATCTTCCTATTTGGCTTGATGAGACTGATGTAGATTGAGAAGTTTGTAATGAAATTCATGATCATAATAAAATTTTCTATTGAAATTGAAAAAAACTGCTTCATTTGATTCCATTCAATTCTTTTTGTGCATTATTATCCATTCAGCTTGGACTCTATGTGACTCCCTTGATACGAGTTATTTTGTCGATTATTTAGTCCATTTTGTTATCTTATAATGCATTAAAGTTGTCTTTCTAACAATTTGTCTTCCATATTCGTGTAATTAGCTAACCTCATTTTTGGTTGTTAAAAGACACAATTAACAGGATTGTCAGACTTATGGGTAAATGGGAAAAAATGAGTAAGAATTGATTTCTTTCACATTTAGATTATGTTGTTTTGTAGAGACTTAAAACCTGGATTCATTTGTGTGATTTAAAAATTTGTCTGATCAATAGTTTTGAAGAAAAGCGATGTCGTAGTTGGGACTTCGATCGCCTTTTGTACAGTTAGGAAAGCAGATTTTTCCGTGAAACTTATTTGCCTGATGTAACTTATGCTCATCAAACAGAAAATGTACTTATTTCAAGGAATAGAATTTTCTGTTTGCTGTAAAACAGATCAGTTCAATTTTCCGTTAAACTGGTCGCTTTCTGTTACCGTGCAAGTTAGAGATCTGAAACTCATTATTTGTCCATAAAACTTATTGATTAACATCTTGGGTTGAATAATTTTTTCAATGCATCAAAGATATTTATGATTTCGGCCATTGGACTGAAAACTTTTAACCTCAATATTTCGAGGATGGTAGCACTTACAACCATCATTCTTTCATCAATTTGCTTCTACACTGATTAGTCATTTAATTCAGTTTCATAACTGTCCATAAGAGCATTTGGTTCATGATATTTGGGCTTTAAAGGTACAAGAAACAACTTATTTAGCAAAACAAACTCATCTTAACCAATTTACTGGTAAATAAACCCATTTTCTGGTTAAAGTCACAAATGAAATGCAAAGAGTGCTGCAAAATGCTCGAACATTTGGGTAAATATTTTAGACTTAGTGAGTTTTGTAAGGATACGAAAACTGAACCCATTGGTGCTATTAAAAAATGTAACCGAACGATAGTTTTCTGGAAAATCGAGGTCAAAGATGTAACTTCGATCGGCTTTTGTGCAACTTTGGAAGCAGATATTTTCACAAAACTCATTTAGCTGATGTATCTTTCAATGACCAACCATGAAATGGTCTTATTTAGACGAATAACACTTTCTTTTTTTGTAAAACAGATCAAGTTCGATTTCAACTTAAAGTAACTTACTTTTAAGTTAAACCGATTTCTTTCTGTGACCGAATGAGTTAGAGAACTGAAACTTTTTATTCTTGTACAAAAATTGTTAATACACAGCATGAACCAGATACTTTTTTCAATTTATCAACAGTTCTCATGATTTTGGCCATTGGCCTTAAAACTTTAAACTTCAATATTTCGAGAATGATAGCGACCACAATCATCATTCTTCGACCAAACATAAGTTTTTATTACAGATTATGATGTTTGAAAATTTTAGATAATTCAAGAAGCTGCTAATAAAGTTATTACATTATCTATTCAAGTTGACAGATTTAGAAAAGTTAAATGGTTACTCATGGCGTGTTAGGAGAATATTCATTATTAAGTGAATTAGCTCAGATCGCTGTGGTTTTCAGTCATATTATATTATAAATCATAATAATATCTAATGCTTA